AGAAACATCGTTAAATAATTGTAGATAACAGAACTTATAAATTCATAGTTTTAAGAAATAACAGGCAGTGTAATTTTCATCCTCTAATATAATAAATTTATACATGTCAATATATTCTGTTTAATTCCAAAACAAAGAGTTAGTCCGGAGAAGAAATAAACGCATAGTATTCCATAACAATATGATTAGAATTTCAGAAATGTTGTCGCCTATAAAATGCTCTCTCGCCGATTTTAAGCAATAGCAAGTCCGAATTAAAATCTAATGTCAATGACATATGTATAACGGAGGAGAAATGCGAAAGATTCTTAGCTTGCCAGAAATAGATTATATATTTATTTATATAATAGGTAAAAGCTGGGATAGGAGGTTGTTTTCTGAGTATAAACTGAAAATACATTCGTGAAGATACATTCGTATATTGGTTTTGTAGGTTTTGCTGTGATAACTAAAAATAATGTGTTCCTACGCAGCGGTCAATTTGTTTGTTTATAGGAAGCATAAAAATATATAAATAAATAAAAAGGTAACTATATTGTGTTACTAGGTTGTATACCAAAATTTTCGTTTGTTTTTCAAGTTCTCCAACTTTTTTCTGCATTTTTTAATGATTGTTTGCTTTTCACTTTAGTCCAGGGGCCGATAAAACTACACGGAGTTTCAGTGTATTCTTATCTGTTTTGACCTGTTGAATTTTAATTTCAAAATTTGTGGAAGTGACAGGAAGTAACGGAAATGGGTTATAAACAATTTAATTAAGTGTGGCCTATTTTTTTATACATATGATTCAACTATCGTAACAATTTCTGCTATGATATATTTGTTTTAACAATCACAACGTTAAGCTGATTTTAAAAAGCGTGAGCGCATTGAAGACAAGTTGAAAAATCAAGCATCTAAGTTCATATTTTATACTCTATGGAGTATTGTATCATTGGATGCGATTTTTATCAGGGGTGTTGATGTCCATTTCAACATAACAGAAGAATTAGCGGCACTGTATCGGCTTAAGGACACTACCTGCTTTCGAGATTTCTTAGAAGCTGTTACTTCGACATTGAATCACTTTTCGTTACAACTCGACAATCTATAGGGCTTAACAACAGATGGTGCTCCAGCAATGGTTGGAAAAGATGAAGATTTAGTAACATTAATTGAAAATGAGGCCTGCAAAGTTGGTAATACGTTAATTTATTGCCAGGAAACATTGTGAAGCGTGTTGTGATATCCAGTTAAAGTAGAAATTTAATCAAATTGTTTTGGAAGAGTTTTATAAAACATATTTGGCCAAGGAGAGAAATATTTAATAAAGGTGTTGTCGATGATTTCGCTCTTTGGAAACATCTACAGGTATGAACAGCTTTTTAGAAAGCAGCATGTTAAATCTCGAACGAAAACACCAATCATTGATGCGTATTTGAAAAACGTTTGCGCCTAGCAAAAATCAAACGTTTCATTTCCAATTTAATATTTTTTGTTTATTCTTTATTATTATTTTTGTATGTAAATCTATTATAATTAATATGTTCAGTTCTCATTTTTCTTATACATTCTTTAAAAATCTATTTGATCAATAAAGAAAATTATTGTGCGGCCCGCTAGCAAATCTTATTTCTAAAATTTGGCTCGCCTGCTGAAAATGTTAGTCACCCAATAAATGATTATAATTCGTAAACTAACAAATGTAAATCATTTTTACAAAATGCAATTTGATTCTTAAAAAATCCTACAAAATGATGTTTGGTAAACCTTGATCCAATGATTAGAACCGGAGATATTCCAAAATTAGTGCAAAAACATTGCAAAATTACGGCATTTAGGCGATTCTTCTATTGTAACTCGACTGAATTTTGAGTAAAATAATTTTATAATAGCTCAAATTAAAGGAAAATCTAAGTTTCAAACTAATGCTTAATTATAATCGATATATTACTTATGATAAAGTCATAATAAGGTATTTTATTTACTAAATGTACATATAGTACATTTGAAAATTATTGAGAGCACAAATTTTATAGCAAAGGTGGTGAGTTTTGTAGCAAATGGTATACAGGATTGGTGAATGCAAAAAAAAACGTAATAATTGATACCTTCTTATCTGAATTCTCACTCGACTTTAATAAGACCAACCCGACAAACTTCAAATACAATACATCATAAGATGTAAATGAGCAAACCTTAACGGGCAATAACTGAACGCCTTACTGACGGACAACATTACTTTACATTACTTTAATATAAATAAACTAAATTGTCTATATTACATACCCACATTAATTTTTATAAAAATATTAAATATTGGTTTAAAATATTTCCTTACACTTAAATAATAAATATATTTCAGGTACTAGCGTCATATAAACTTATAATTAGTAATATAAATATATAATTACATACCTAAATACATAAATTGTCTTCTTCCCAGAAGACATCATCATTATTATCACTTTCTTTATTTGCTACAGAAATAGTAATTGGTTCTATTGTTTCCTCTATGAACATATCGAATTTCCAGAATGTTTCTTTCTCTGCCATAACACGTCTTATAGCTTTTTGCCAATTGTCAGATGAAATTTTTGATATGGAGTTAGATAATAGTTGACGAACATCTTGAAGTTTAAATGTTGTATTAGTTCTCGCGACATATCCTTTCATTTGAGCCCAGATGATTTCCTTGGGATCAAGTTCACATTGATAAGGTGGTAATCGCAATACTTTAACTCCATATTCTTTTGCTATTTTATCTACACTATACTACTTAAATTTTAGTGACTATTGTTTGCATAGAGATAACTCTTTTTTGAGTAAACTTTCTGCTGGCACTACTATTTCTTTGGTTATTAGCCAATCCAAGAGTTCTTTCTTTCTCCATTTAGTGTTAGCTAACGGTTCCTTTAATCTGAAGTGGTAATTGGCATTGTCTTTTATCCATGTTTCACCTAAATAAAAAATATTTTTGCATTCTCTTTTTAATTTTAAAATTTTTCTCATTAATTTCCCCCTCAAATATTACCTCATCCAACAAATAATTTCTTGTGAAAAAGACAGCAAATATTTGATTTCACGCAAACAGCGCCTTTGTATCTGTTGATACGTATTTCGACCTAATAGGTCTCATCAGAACAGTTATTCAAACGTTCTCAACGTGAAAGATCAATATTTTCTGTCTTTTAAGAAGCAACAATAACATGGCTTCGATACGGACGCACTAGCGACATCTAATTTAACAATCGTAAAATAGTTTCGAAACACAATTCAGATTTCTGCTTTTATCTGTGCTTTCTAAAAATTGCAAAGCAAAACAGACGTTGATAAAGGTGTTAAAAGAGACGTGGGGAATCTAAAATTTGCATTCCACGACACATCTTTTCAACTAAGCAGAAATCCTTAGCGAATTGGTTTCTAGTACTCGTACAGAGTAAATCTTTTAACACCTTTATCAACGTCTGTTTTGCTTTGCAATTTTTAGAAAGCACAGATAAAAGCAGAAATCTGAATTGTGTTTCGAAACTATTTTACGATTGTTAAATTAGATGTCGCTAGTGCGTCCGTATCGAAGCCATGTTATTGTTGCTTCTTAAAAGACAGAAAATATTGATCTTTCACGTTGAGAACACCTTTGAATAACTGTTCTGATGAGACCTATTAGGTCGAAATACGTATTAACAGATACAAAGGCGCTGTTTGCGTGAAATCAAATATTTGCTGTCTTTTTCACTTTTTTTGGATTTACTCTGTACGAGTACTAGAAACCAATTCGCTAAGGATTTCTGCTTAGTTGAAAAGATGTGTCGTGGAATGCAAATTTTAGATTCCCCACGTCTCTTTTAACACCTTTATCAACGTCTGTTTTGCTTTGCAATTTTTAGAAAGCACAGATAAAAGCAGAAATCTGAATTGTGTTTCGAAACTATTTTACGATTGTTAAATAATTTCTTCTTTCTCTAGAAGCGCAGATTTTCTATCGTTATTCTTATAAATAAAACCTAATCCACGTAAAGTTATTCGTCTTCATTAATGCCCACTAAAAGTTTATCCAAATTAAAAATCTTTTTTGGTAAATAAAATGAATGAATTTTTTTTTCGAATCGATTGTTTCACAGCATCGTCTATATGAATGGGTTTTCTTCTTGTTAACGTTTTAGGTACTCCTAGAATACTACCACTCTTTCGTTGCTTAAAAACTATAAATATTTGTTTTTCCTCCTGTCTCCTGTCATATCTGAACACTTAAAAAATATACTCCTAACAGTGCTTATACAAGTATATGTACACAAGTAAAATGTTCATATACAAGAGCACCATGTACATTTAACACTAAAGTTTTCATTGGCACGGTTAAATGCCACTTTAATTTCACAGGAGTAATTTTTCATTTCGTTTCTATCGTTGTTTGTATCCATTTTTAATCCTATTATTTCCTATCAAGTTGTTCTTCTTACTGTATTTCTGTATCTGTTCGATTCTTTCCTGTAGTTCCAAGAGAACCAGAGCTTGAGAACCTCTCTTTTCAAGTTCTAGTTCTCTTGACTTATGTCTGTTAATTCCATCAGTTATTCTTTTTCCCGATAAGTTTTTTAATGACTCTAGTTAAAACTGCATTTGTGTCTTTGTTTTTATCTTCTTCATTTTTCTGTGGTGGTCCCTTTGTTTATTTGCTTCTTACCACTCTGTAATTTTGTTCTTATCTCTTCTATTTATTCTCTATTCGATTTTAAAATTTATTAAAATAAATTGTTTGGTTGAAAAATTTTGAAAAATATATTTAAGAAAGTATAGGTACAATCTGTATTTACATACAGTATTTTAATCTCCATGCATAAATATAATTTAAATCGACTGTTAAACTCTACAGTCTACAAGACTACACTTAATTTTACAGTTTTTAAGAAACTCGTTCGTGAGTCTACAAGTTTTGTCCTTATATCGATGAAATCAACTTATTTTGTTTCTTTTTTCAGATTTATGACACAGGAGGCCGATAAAAGTATTCAGTAACCATGTCACAGGCAACAGTGGATAATTTTGTTACAGTCGTATCGGTAGGACCGACAGACAAGCCAGAGAGTAATGAAAACATAAATTTCGATTCAGCTGGATCGGGATATGTAACAGTGTTAACTATTGGCGATGACGAAAATCAAAAGGATATCAAAGATGTGACTGAAGAAGTGATAGTGTACCGTTTACCTGGAGAAAGACTTGGATTTGGACTTAAATTCGAAGGAGGTACGAAAGCGACTGAATTTGTTAAGAGACTTTTTATTCAATCTTGTGCTGCTGATAGTCCTGCATCAAGAGTAAAAAGTTCCTGGGGTAAATTAACAGAAGGAGATGAAATTCTTGAAATCGACTCTGTTTCGGTTAATACTATGACTAGAATAGATTGCGTTAGATGTTTAAAGGACTCAAATGTAGCCATAAAACTTTTAGTTCGACACACGTATGGCCAGGAAAATAAAAAACAAGAAACTTCACCCTTAATTATTAGTGCCGAAGAAAAAAGAGTTCCCCCTCCTCCACCACCTGTCCCTCCTCGGAAGATATCAAGAAAACTACTGAAGAACCTTAATAATAACGTCCCAAAAGAACAAGTGGACAGCTCCTTAGGAAATAACAACGTTGCAAATGTTAGACCTACTGAAACTAGTAAACAAAAGAAGTTACAATCACCACGAGGCAGTGTTCGCTCGTACAATTCCCCAGATCTATTGCGAAGAGATCGGAGATTTTCTGATGGTAGTCTTGGACCTCCAGATGCAGAAGTTTATGTCGATCTTTTTCTTCAAGAATCTACGCAAAGTTTAAGCGAATCTGATGATACTGGAAGTACTATTTCAACAGTGATTGACAGATTTGGATCATTTCCTGCAACCACTACCTCTAGCTTCTCTGGAAGTCTACCGTCAACTCCAACTTCAATACAAAGACAGCTAGATATCTCGAATATAAATATTTATGAGGATGATGATGTTATTCATGGAAAAAGTCTTAACAAACCAACACCGCTTCCAAGGGAAGAAAACAACAACATAATTATGGAAGAAGTTAACCCCTTATGTTTTCAAGATGCGCCTCTAAGCTATGGAAATGAAAGTACAAAAGTAATTGTACCTGACGAAATCGACTTAATCAGAGAAGAACCAATCGTGTTACAGGAAAATAGACAAGTTTCCAAGAAGCCTCCTGTGCCTCCTCGATCAAGAGACACTCACCTCACCACATCGTCTGAAAAAATTGAAAAGTGCGTAGAAAATCTTCCACGCCTAGTAGATTTTGTACCAAAAACGGCTAACGGTGTTAAGGAAGTTGAGAATTCCACAGAAATTATGAAAATGTTCCTCGAGAACGAACGTTACAAACCTGATTTTGAATTTTTCGATAAAGAACCTGATAAAGATAATTATATCAACGGCGTTGACTTGTACAGCTCCAAGTGGAGTTTATCGTCTCAGCTGGCAACCATTGGCGAAGTAGAAGAAGAAGGAAGCTGTGACTGCAATTTTAACAGGTAAGAAAATATTATTAATAAATTAAATTTGATATTTTATTATTCATATTGGTCATCTCTACTTTTACAGCATTTTTCTCTTACGTTTTTACTGTTGGTTCTATAGTTACAATTGTGATGGATTCGACAGTTACTTGATGAAAATTCATTTTATATAACAATAAAACACTGAAAACTTTGTTTTCAAAATTTTTACAAAATTGATTGTAATGTATTATCAATATAGCTATTTCGGCAGAGTACCTTCTTCAAGTCGCAGTACCTAATTATGACGTTATTTCTGTTAGTTGTCTTTTTTAAGGTTTGAAATTAATATAATAAATTTTTTCTTCTGATGAGGTCTGCACTCTAGTAGTAGTTTCTTTTTTTTTGTTGTAATGCGGATAGCGAACATTTTCTTTTCACCAAAGCAATTTCACTATTAAATTTACCTTTTTAGTTTATTTTATTTGCAATTAAATTATCTACACATTCGTGTAGTAACATATTTTCTAATCAAAAAGGATGCCTTTCGGAATGTGATTGTTATAATAAATATGAACATTTGTTTATTCCCGTCCTTATGGCATCTAATTGACTGTGTTTTGCAGTTTTCCGTAAAGAATGTAGTCCAGAGAAATAAGATATTACCATGACTTTGACCTAGCCCAAATATTTGACAAGTTTTTGAGTTTTATGCACCTCGATAACCAAAATCTCATGTTTCCTGCAGGGGGGAATATTAATAATTTAAGCAAAATTCACAATTTTAAGAACTTTCGTCTACCAGTAAAAAAATAAAGCATTTTGAACGGATTTAAAGGTATTTATTTAAAAAAAACACGTTTCAAGCTTTAAAATAACGATTTTTGAATGTTATATTACTAGTTTGTTGCTTATAAAACTGTAAAAAACCGAAAAAAATTTCAGTTTCAATAAATGTTAATACCTGTTCTCAAAATAAAAAAAAAGTTTTGATTATCGAGGACGATAAACACAAAAAAAATGTCAGATACTTTTCCGGGTCAGTATCCCCAACAGGGTATTTTTTACTGCATTTCTCTGTACTAATCATCACATGTATTTTAGAATCCTAAGATGTGTTGCTATATTAGTTGTGAGTGTAGATTGCTTGTCCCATTTACGTTAATCTAGTTTGGCTATCTTTATTTTATTTGAATATATACCTTAAAAAAATGTTCCAAAACAATGATAGATGCTTATCTTATTTGTGTTAGAATTTTATTAATATTCAAGCTCCTCTTTCCTTTGCCAATGCCATGATGTTTCCATGGTACCGTATCTAATACTATTGATCGTAAGTTTTATCTTATTTTCATCGTCGCAAGTATTATAATGATTAGATTACATATTTTGCATAAAAATAAACGACACTACACAGTTTCGGCGCAATCCTTTGTCTCTTTTTTGACATAATTAGTATTTGCGATTTAGGTTCTGATGCAATTAACAATTTTAGTAAATTTTAGATATTGCTGTAGAAAGAGTATCTATATCTCAGAAAAATGTGATAAGCTTCGGTAATTAGAGGTCACATTAATAATGACCTATATGAAGTGTAAGTAAATAAGTTATTTCTACAAATTCGTATTTTTGTAAATACATATAAAAAATACAAACCTTATAAGAAATGATTAATTTATTAATGACTATGGCATATTTATCGTGATAAAACAAACTATGAATTTTAAAAAACAAATAAAATATAAAACTATAAAACAAACTAAGCATGTCTAAATTAAATATTATGTTAATACGGAATGAGATCACATTTTATTGTAATAAAAATTACATTTTATAATTGCTTTTTTGACGTTTCTCTGTTGGAGAAGTAATTCAGAAACGCTCGCAAAAAGGGATTTGAAGACGATAACAATACCGTAAACGGCTTATCGGAAAAAATAAAAAAAAGATAGCAAATAAGTACAACACCACAACAACATTTAAAACAACCAAAACGCTCAGATCTATTCTGCCCAAAATCCAAACACAACAATACACAAGAGAGATCAAAGAACTGCATCTATAAAGTACCCTGTGAATACAACAATTTTTAAATGGAAAAAACCGCAAGACCATTTAGTGTCATAATAAAGGATAATGAAATATACATCAAAAACAGAGATTTCGATAAATTATAGATATGCAAACATGTCTGGAATAATGAGCATGGAGTGCTAGGGAATGAGGCATCAATAATTATGAAACATAAGACCGATGAAGATCGAAGAAGCAGCTTTCATCCTACTTAATGAAGAAAAATGTGGAGCATGAAACATACATCAAAAATAGAGACTTCGACAAATCACAGATATACAAAAATGCTTGGGACAATGAGTACTGCCTTGTTTAGGGTTGCTGTCTGCTTGATCTGGTCAAAGTTTGACTTCCAGATCTCTTCGAACGTCTTTTACTTTTGACAGTTTTAGGATGCTGCTTCTTTGTGAGTATTTATCGTTTAGGACTTTAAGTTAAAGCCTGATGTTCAATATTAGAAGTTGGTGGTCAATTTCACTGTCTGCAACAGGCTACATTTTGAAACTGACGACTGATGTTTTCCATCTTGACCTAATTAAACTAAAATCTATTTGATTTGTTACTCGCACTGTATAATATTCGAGAGTGGTATTTAAAGACAGAATTGGTTAGATTGTACTGCATACAGAAATCAAGAAGACGGTTTCCCTTTCGTTTCTTTCTCCTAGAACAAAATTTCCAATAACATTTTAGTATTTATCTCACACTTTCCTACTTTGGCAATAAAATACCACAGGATGATGACTAGATCCCGATTTGGGATGGATTGATTGTTATGTCCATGTCTGGACAATTTATATCTGCGTTGTCTGTACCTGAAAAGACTTCAGTTGTTTTAAAATCACTAAAACTGGTTAGAATAGCCAGTTTGTGATTGAGCATCTCTTTTTCAATTATTTGTAATTTTCCAGGATTCTATATCAATCGCTAAATGTTCCACGCTCCTATTCTTTGATTTTGCCGCAGGTTTAGGTTTGGATTGGTTTCAGTCGTAGACCTTTTGCTCCTGACCGTTGACAGCCGGTACCCAATCGGAACTGAAATGGCGCAGAGTGTGAATCGGATCGCCACACATACAATAATTCCTTGCTTTCTTCATATAGGGTGAATAAAACTTACTCGAAAAAAAGGTGCAGTAGGAAATAATTTAATAATAAATTTGCACTGCTTATTTATTTGTTCACCTTTTTCATTTTCCATAAACTCTTACGATGTTTTCATAAATTAAGTTGTAATTATTAAGTAACCCAGAAGTCCTTAATAATTACAACTTAATACAACTTCGTTGAAGTCAAATGGTTGTCCGTACGTCCATCTAACTGTACCTATAAAACTCTTGAAGGAAAAGGCCGAAAGTATTGAAATTTCGTACGTAGATTTCTTTTGGTGTAAGGGAGAAACCTATGGAGTTAGGAGTCAATAGGTCTTCTTCTCATATTTTTATTGTTCTGAAGTTATTTTCATTTTTTCTTCTTGTTCTTCATAAATCGACTACATTTTGGACATTCGTGCTATCACAATAAGTCATTTATATAAAATAAATGTGATTTAAGACGATAATCGCAACACCTTACGTCTGTCTACTAAAATGTCTTGATGGGCAACAAGCAAGTGACCCCGTATGCTCCTTATCGTATTTTCTTCCAATAATTATCTGTTAATTTTGTATTAGGGATAGGACTATGAATTTGTCTGATTGGTTAATCTATTGCAACTGGATGAATGACTAATGTCTATGCCATTAACAAATAATATTAATGCAGTTTACTATTTTGATTTGATAAATTGAGCTTTTTTGAAACCCACTTTGAGTTTAGATACACCTTCACCAACGCTTCAATAAGTTGTTTTAAGTTATGATACGCATTTTCCAGACATGTAGAAAAAAGATATGGACAAGTAACTTGCATTTTTGTTTTTATTTTATGTTTATATAGTACTGTCTTCTTTTTCATTATAGTATGTTTCGGATATGATCATGATCATGATATGATATGATCATTATTGATACTATTATTCGCCCCTCACACTCTAAGAATTTTGTTTCTTTATAAGGATCTCTTTTATGTATATAAAACATATCTTCTTACCATAATCCTCTATTTTTATTCCAGTCACGCTCCTTCTGAAACATTGGCTAACAAGGATTTACATTGGTATAAATATACTCGTATTTGTATACCAATTATGAATGAAGAATTTTATCATAACTTTATTACATGTTAAATTCTTAATATTAATATTAATATTTTCAATTATTGATAACTATGCTCTTGACAATCCATCCAAACAAGATTAATGATCTACATTAATTAATCTCATTGATTAATTGTAAATTGGATTATTAATTTTATTATTAATTTAGACAAACAAATATATATATATTTAATGTTCAACGTGCAGGAGTTTCCAGCGAAAAATAATTTAATATTAAAAAGTTCTTATAACATAGTACAATTAATTGCTTCTATGCGATTTTCACGCATCCAAAATTCTTCTATTAAATTTTTGTTTCCGCACATATTTTTTTTCAAATTGAAGGAATAGCAGTATGAAATGCTTTTTGCCATGTTTCCAAAACTGCTGTGTCACTGTAATTATAATGTATTTAGGACACTCTTTTAAGATATGTGCCATATTAATATCGCAGTTACATGTCATAAATAGGGCGATTTGATTTAGAGATTAAGTATCGGTGAGTTAGTGAAAGATTTTATTCGTTTTCCCATTGATTTGTCACTTTTTATTTAAGAAACGGTTTGTACTCGGAAACAGACATTAAGTTCACTAACACTGAAGAGGCACTGTGTATTGCTTCCCTGGCATGAAAAATCTGTTTTTTCGATTCCTTAAAGTCCAATGTGTGATGTAACCCATATAAAGCATACTTGCTGGCTCGCGCTGTTTAGTAAATTTAATTGTGCTTTTATTAAAATACTTATAGGATTACCTGTATCTAACTG